ATATGTGCCAGTCATATACATTTTGTGTTCTTGCAACTGAATTTTCCCACTTGTGTCTAGTTCAAGGTGGCTGAAACATGCCATATGCTTTCACTCTTCCTCCTTCACCCTTCCCTCCCCTTTTTTGGGTGTGGGGGAGGGGTTCGGGTATTCCTATAACCAAATTATGGTTTGCACTGACTGCCCAGACCAGAATGAGGAGTTCTGCTCAGATTAGCTCTCTGGTGGATTTGATAGTTTGCCAGCTCAGGTTCACAATAAGGAACAGGAAAAGGAAAGGGAGCAAGGAAGGAAACTGAACTGTAAACTTTGCTAATGAACTTTTTCTATTTTATTTTTTCCTTTCTTTTTCCTCCGCCCTGAATGCCATATTCAGCAAGCAAAAGAAAAAATTTATAAAGAAGCCCTTGGAAAGGGCACACATCCTTACATCTCCTAAGTTCTTACAAAAGAAAGCCAAAAAAAACGAGTAAGTACACGCTCCTGTGCCCAAAAGATTTTCTGAAAAGTGTTGCATATAGATGCAAATATAGGAGCCAATGAAATAACACCAGGGATTTTTAAGACCGTTCCTAGAAAGACCTAAGAGTAGGGTGCCTTCAATTTGCCATTTTGCAAATTTCCCATTAAGGAATGAATCATTTCCGTAAAATGGCAAGAGGGACATATTACCACATGTGGTGGGAGTGCTCAAAAGCCCGTGACTTTTGGAACAAGGTTAAAAAATGGCTGGAAGAAATACTAATAATAGAGGTAGAGCTAAAACCAGAACTTTTCCTACTAGGCATAACTACGCAGAAGCACGATAAAGGGATACTTTACTTGATGCTACATATTCTCACGGCTGCTAGATTGGCGTATGCACAAAACTGGAGGAATAAAGAAATTCCAACAGAAGAAGAGATTTTATATAAAATCCTATCGTGTGCTGATATGGATAGGCTCCCAATGGAAATAAAGGACAAGACAGTCAGATTACTTTGAAATCTGGGACAAATTCTATTATTGGTGTGAATCAAGGAGAAACTGTTCGGGTTTTAAGTTAGTGTTAAGATAAGAGATATACAAAACTGTATGCTAGTATATAGAGAAACAAATTAGAGACTGTATTGTATAAAAAATATGTACATATAGAGATTAAGAATTATATGTATGATGAGGAACAAATTGTTAGGAATATATTCACTGGAATGTTAAGTTATGTCCATCTTTAACTGTTTTATAAATAAAAAACTTTTTTTAAAAAAAGGAATGAATCATGTCCCAGTGGATCCTTAACAGAATAGCAGAGTTGAAAGGGACCTTGGAGGTCTTATAGTCCAACCCCCTGCTTAAACAGGACTGTGTAACTTCAGCAGAACCATCTCAAATAACTTTAGATAGTATACTACTTCTGTGTGTCAGAAATCTTATTAACATAGCAATAGATGCAACTGTTTTTATATAAGTCTTTCACTCTTTGAGTTGGCTTTTAAAAAAGTAGCTCTTAATAGGTTTTTCATGCTATTCCCTTTTTTATTAGCATATAGTATCTTTGTTCTGTTTATTCTACTTTGTATTAATATTTCACTGGCAAGCTGATGTGTTATAAGTGGCATTAAAAACAATACAATTAAATTATGCTGTATTAAATACAGGGAATAGCCTTTGTTTGTTTCTGGCTGTGATTTTTCAAAGTTTTGAATCAAGGTAGTACAGGTGGTCTTTATTTAGTGACTGCCTCATTTAGCGACTGTTCAGAGTTACAAAGTTGATGAAAAAGTAATTTCGCAACCAATCCTTGCATTTATAACCTTTGCAGGTCTGTAAAGTGAAGGAAAATGGAAATAAGATCATAAGCAGTCATGGTTTCATTTAGTAAACATCTTGCTTAATGATCAAATTGCCTGTCCCAATTGTGGTCGCTAAAAAAAAGGACAACCTCTATTTCCAAGGATCCATTATTCCTTTTGAAAATTAGTTTCAAGCCACCTGAATACAAAGTAGTTTGCTCCCACTGACTTTGGGTTTTTAGCTATAAACAAGCTATCCAGAGTCATTGGAAGTCAGGTGGTATACAGGTTTAATTTAGTATTATTCCTATTGAAATGAGTACATCCAACTACAAAAAAGTTAAGCGGTCATTAACTTTTGGTTTGGTTTTTAAAGTTTCAGAAATTGGCTGTGGTCATTATAACTTATTTGTTCCTTTTATTTTTAATAGGACCCTTATCCAGAAAAGGAAAAAGAACTCCAAAGAAGTCGAAAATAACAATTCTCAGACACAGGCAACTCCCAAAAATTGATTCAGCTGCTTTGTCGAAATAAACAAGGATTCTTTGATCTTTGCAAGAATAAATCTGAGGAGCCCTTTTTTTTGATGGGCAAATACTTTGATATATGTTTGATTCTTTGATATATGCAAGTTGCTTTTTTGTATTGTACCTTTAGCTACAGGGTATCTTATCCCCCAGCCCCTGGTTATGGATGTGCTTGGTATCAGATCATCCTTCTTGGTGACAATGTGATGGTGCAAATACAAGCATTGCACCACACAAAAGATATCCAGATGCAGTCATCTCCGGTATAGAAAAGATTCCAGATGCAAAGGACTCCTCTTCTGATAAATGACTCTCAGTTCACAATAAAAGGGAAAACTTCTACTACTAATCTTTGTCATTGATTGTGGGAGATCAAATATTAGAATGTAATCGGTTCCATGATGGGAATATAAGGATAAGACACAATTGTCTTATCCTTATAATGGATCAGAGGAATGCTGTGGATATAATTTACTTGGACTTCAGTAAGGCATTTGATAAAGTAGACCACAACCTATTACTTGATAAGATAGAAAAATGTGGGTTAGACAGCATCACCACCAGATGGATCTGTAGCTTGGTGACCGGCCATACTCAGCATGTGGTCCTCAATGGAACTGCATCTACATGGAGGGAAGTGTAGTGGGATGCCCCAGGACTCTGTTCTGGGCCCAGTGCTCTTCAACATCTTCATCAATGATTTGGAACGGGATAGATTGGGAACCAAGCTGGCAGGAATAGCCAACACTCCAGAAGACAGGCTTAAGATACAGGAGGATCTTGAGAGACTTAAACATTGGGCCCTATCTAAAAAAATGAAATTCAATGGTGAAAAAAGTATGCACAAGTATGGTATAGGACAGGTGGTACCTTGCTCAATAGTAGTAACTGTGAGAGGGATCTCGGAGTCCTACTGGACAGTCACATAAATATGTACTGCAGCTGCCAAAAAAGCCAACACAGTGCTAGGCTGCATTAACGGGTAGAATCAAGATCACGTGAAGAGTTAATACCACTTTACAATGCCTTGGTAAGGCCACACTTGGAATACTGCATCCAGTTTTGGTCACCATGATGTAAAAAAGATATTGAGACTCTAGAAAGAGTACAGAGAAGAGCGACAAAGATGATCAGGGAACTGGAGGTATTTTGGCCTGTATGTGCAATTTTGAGATTGTTATAAAAGACTGGGAGGTTTAATAGAGTCGTCATTAGTTCCTGCCATCCTAACGTTCAGCTGGAATTGCCAGGTATCATGGCTTGGGCGTTAAGATCAACCTTTCATGCCTTTCTTGAGGCAGCTTCAACGGTGGGATTCAAATATGTGAACAACCGGTTCTCTGTGTGGATGCCGCTTCCGGAAGTCCATTCTGGGCCTGGCCAACAAAAAATTAACTACCGGTTCTGCTGAAGTGGTGTGAACTGGCTGAATCCCACCACTGGGCAGATTTCCTGTGCTTTTAAAGGTGGGTGCTTAAAGAGGGAAGCAGAGATGGGAGATACTGCTCCAAGGTAGATGAATGTCAAAACTAGGTTGCAGAGTCTGTGTGTATATTTTCCCACTTAGATCAATGGTGCCTCTTAAAACGAACTTAAATTGCAGTCAATTCAAATGGGTAGGTAAACAGTTTGAGTTCACTTGACATGCTGGCTGGGGAATTCTGGAAGTTGAAGCCTACACAGGTCTTAAAAATTGCTAAGTTTGAAAAACTCTCAAATCCATTCCGTCCACCGTTCAGAGGCATGTGTCCTGCAACCCCAAACAATAGCACCTACACAACCTTTGTGGCAGTCACTCCCTTTCTTCCAGGTGTCTGCTTGCAGCCAGGGTGCCTTACAGAATAATTCCAGCTTCCATCATCCCCAGTCAGCTTGGCCCGTGTGATTATAGGGCGAGCGGGCAGACGTCTGCTACATCTCAAGGTGGCAAGGACACCCCTTCTCCCAGGTGCTTATTGCATCCACTCCAAAAGGGAGCTGCCGGGGACACTTGCATCCAGAGTCCTTTCTGTGCCGGGCACGATTGTATCTGGAATCTTTTCTGTGCCAGGGACGATTGCATGTAGAATCCGTTCTGTGCCGGGGACGATTGCATGTGGAGTCCTTTCTGTGCCGGGGACGATTGTATCTGGAATTCTTTCTGTGCCAAGGACGACTGAATGTGGAATCCGTTCTGTGCCGGGGACGATTGCATGTGGAGTCCTTTCTGTGCCAGGGACGATTGCATGTGGAGTCCTTTCTGTGCCGGGGACGACTGAATGTGGAATCCGTTCTGTGCCGGGGACGATTGTATCTGGAATTCTTTCTGTGCCAGGGACGACTGTATGTAGAATCCGTTCTGTGCCGGGGACGATT